GGATGGTGTGGTGGTGAAGTGCGCTGCTCCCCGGTAAGGACAACAGCGCGTGTTCGTTCTCCACCGCATACACCTGCGGTCCGGTATCTTGCAAATATCTCAGCATTATATACGAGCTATAGTTGTAATCATAATCTTAACCATTTTATTTACTGCCTATTCTTTTTTTTAACGGCAAGGTATTTTGCGAAATATAACTATTATAATGCTGAGATATTTGCAAAGCTTTGATAAAAGGTCGATAGAACTAGTTGAGAGACAGGCGAAGCGAAGGACGCGCATGGTATGGTGGTGAACGCGTTATTCCCCGGAAAGAGCAATAACGCGTTCGTTCCCCACCGCAAGCACTTGTGGTCCGAAGTTTTGCAAATATCTCAGCATTATAATAGTTATATTTCGCAAAATACCCTGCCGTTAAAAAAGAATAAGCAGCAAATAAAATGGTTTAGATTTATATTCTCATAATTTTTGGTTTTAAGAGTTCTTGAACCTGTCGCATACCATGTTTTTGCGATGACGTAAGGTTGAAACTAAACTTCTTCTCGCGGTGTTGATTAAGGAATGTAAGAGTTTCGTTCGGAATTATCTGAACATTGATGTCTAGTTCATTGCTGAGGTCCTCTCGTGTAAAGTACGTTGGAGGAAAAGAAGGAAGTGCTTCTCTGTTTTTGTGCTACTTCTCTAGTCTAGCATTGCAACGGAGTAGATCATAAAGCTCTTGGAGTTCGCATGCAATTGCACGCAAGGTTTCCTTAGAAATTGGTTGCATTGTTGAGAAACTTAGAGCCAATTCTAATGGTGAGCATCCGCTGTCAGGAAAAGTACTACCTCCTAACACGGCCACCTGCGCCTTTTGAGGCATGTTGTTGGCCCAATTTCACTCTCGCCGTTGTCGTCAACGGTGTTTCATTGTTTTATTGAAGCTCTCTTATGCGATTCGTCTAGCAGATTTTCGAATTTTCGCTCTAACATCACTTTAGCATTAGTCTAAGTGAAATCGCAAGTCAAAATCGACCCATCCATTCTTTTGCCGCAAATGTGTCCCACGAAATATTTAACACAGCAGTTTCCCTACGACCCGAACTTCTTCAGTTGAGCATACATGTGGTCCTGTTTGCACGGTAGACAGCAGCAGAGTAGTTGCATTTCGACGTCGAGGTGGTCGGCCTTTGGTAGACCGCATTAGTCACGCAGTCGTTTCCGTTTTATGAATTTCAGATTAATTCGATGTTTTGGGCAACGGCGGAGAAAGTGTTCATAACCGTGTATCCAACAGCCAATTCGACTCAAGAATGTGGTTACATCTCAGTTAAAATGCATTTTCTATATAATGTCAAAATCAAAGGTCTTAAAAGGCAATAACTGAATAAGAAGAACTGAGTAATTTCTATATTGCCGAGGCCGAGTTTCTGTTAGACTTGGCACTAATAAAGTAATTCTCTATATTCTTCTTGAGCAGAGACAAGGTGTCACTCTGTTTTTTCCCGCGGTAAAGCAGATATTTCGGGGGATTTCGCAATCTAGAAAGGTCAAGTTGACCGGAACGTATCCAGCCGAACACCTCCACAACCAAACAGAGGAAATACTACACCAAGATTTCGATACCATTAAAAATAAAATAGCTTCTTCGCACACTCACCGCTTTTCTTTTTTTGTTATGGAAGTGTTTGGCACGGTAGGTTGCAATCAACTTGTCCCTACTAGACTCTGAATAAGGTGAAATCCTCCGAAACGTCCGCTTTACCGTAATAAAGAATAAAGTAGCACCTCGTGTTTGCTCTAATAACAATATATTTACTTGATACTTGATACTTGAATGGCTCGTCCTTGCTAATTGTGCGGGCTCCAGCATAATCTCCATTTTTCGGAGGGTTGCTGGTTAAGCCATTATGGTTTCCTGGAATGCCGAGGTTAGTCTGGCTAAAGTCTGCCTCAGGTCTTCATCACCACATGCAGTCGCAGCCCTTGTGGATCAGAGGGAGATTTGCCACCATGCGACTTTGATACCAGGACGATGGTGCATCCTGGTATTGGTTTACTTCTAGCTAGGTTTCCTAATGGAAACGCCAGACTCCTTCTTAGCATGGGAGACCCTGCCAGGGGATGAATCACCCGCTGTGCATCGCACTCCGACACCCAGGAACACATCCAGCCACGATGAGGCCGTAAACCGCTGTGAGGCTAACAAGAATATAGTGAACTAATTCCTATATCTTTTCACTTTCCTAACTTTTTACTGGTTAGGAACTACTACTTCGTTACGTGCAACTTGCACTGTAGCTAAACGAAAGTGAGAATGTTTTTACAGCATTTCGTCGCTCCATCATGCGTGGGTAATATCAGCCTCGCCGACGAATATGATTGTGCTCGATATTGGGAATGTAGATCATCGGGAAGATTCCAAAGTCGAGTATGTGGGGAAATTTCGCTAGATCGCGGACATTCTCATCGTTCTCATTTCAGGCTTGTCCTATTGGTTACATCTACGACATTTATAAGAAGCACTGCGTACCAGGGTTCGTTGATCACACTATACTTCTTTTATAGTGACTTCGTTATTAAGAGAAGTGTTTAGCTAGCTAAGAAACAGTTGGTAAGGTATTGGTGTACTCTGATGAGGGAAGTTATTTAGTTATTTGCACTCTGCTGCAATTTCAATTCTCATTCGCATCATTTCATCGTTATAGTTGTCTATGTTGGTTTCTTGTTAGTGGTATAATTGGCTTTTATTGATACCCATTACCTCGCTTTCCAAATCCGGCTGTCGTAGACACCTCCTAGTCACATGGTCATTTAGTTTGCGTGGATTTTTCCCTTTACAGATGTGTTTCGCATGATCACGAAAGTAAGATAGAAGTTGGCACTTCCGTAAACTCATGGATTCTACTCTAACATGAAAATTCTCTATTAAGATATTTGATGTTGTGAGTTGTAGATGCACTTTAGAAGAGGTTCTTCACAATGGACAACGTGACTATAGTCAGAAGGCAAACGAAACGTTTTTATTCTTTCTCTATTTTTTTATTGAGGAGTTGTCGGTGCCTCCCATCGTGGCTGGAAGGTGTTCCTGGGTGTCGGACAGCGATGTACAGCGGGGGATTCATCCAGGGTCTCCCTAGCTGAGAAAGAGTCCGACGTTTCCATCAGGAAGCCCAGCTAAGAGTAAACCAATGCCAGGATCCGCCACCGTCCTGGTATCAAAGTCGCATGGTGGTAAATCTCCTTCCAATCCTCAAGGGCTGCGACTAACTGTGGTGGTGAAGACCTGGGGTAGACTTTGGCCAGGCTAATCTCAGCATTCCAGGGAACCACAATGGCTTAACCAGCAAAGCTCCGATAAATAGTGGTTATGCTATGGGCCGCACGACCAGTGAGGACGGGCCGTTCAAGTGTGTCGTGTCAAGTTGCCGGTGTTGCTATAACTGAGGGCTTTACAGCCTTAGATTAACTGGGTTCAATGCCGATTTGGGCTCTCCACATCAATCCCGTTGATGGGTGATTGCTGATGGCACTGATCAATAGAACTAGCTAGCGCGTTCGTTCCCCACCGCAGACACCTCTGGTCCGAAGTTTTGGAAATATCTCAGCACCATTGAGGGCTTTGTTGAACATATTCTTATGCAAGCAAATAGAGTGGTCTTTCTGCAGATCGAACTCTTAACATTCTCATAGATGTCAACTTTTTAGCACATCATGTGCAGATATTGGTAGCCAATGGTGTTTGATATTTCTTTAACGACCAGATTGTAAATAGGAATTAGTATTTTATAGCGACAAACTTCTACGTTAACTTTTTATTTGGTGCCTATTACAATTTTTCAAGGCCGGGTATTATATGAAATATAACCATAACGTTGCTGAGATATTTGTAAAACTACGGACGGCAGGTGTCAGCGGTGGGGAACAAACGCGCTGTTGTGCTTTCCGAAGGGCAACGCGTTTACCATCACACGGGTCCTTCGCTTCGCCTATCTTTGAGCAAGTTTTCTATCTACCAGTGTCATCAGCAATCACTCGTCAACGGGATTGATCTAGGAAGCACAAATCTACAACGAATACCTTGTCATGAAAAATTGTAATGGGCGGTAAATGAAAAATTTAACATCGTGATTTCGACTACAGCCTCAGCCTAACTGGGTTCGTTGCTGATTTTGCCTGCCTAGATCAATCCCGTTGACGGATGACTGCCGATGGCGCTGATCGATAGAACTAGCTGAGAGAGAGGCGAAACGAAGCACCCTCATGGTGTGGTGGTGAATGCGTTAGCCTCGGAAAGAGTAATAGTGCGTTCGTTCCCCCCTGCAGACACCTGAGGTCCCGAATCGGATTATTTTCTTCTCATAGCTGTATCATTTTCGAATAGACTGTTTTCAAACTAATTCCACTAATAGTTCCCAGGATAAACCTTCTATTAACCTCGGCATTGGAATATGAATGTGTCGTTTTCTTGTTCAGCAATCGCGAGGTTTTTAAACAGCATACATTTACTTCCATAGAAAAACACAATACAATACAACACTAGCTGACGTTTCGGCAGCATCGCCTTCTTCAGAGCCTGGAAGGGTATACTGATATACAATCTACTAGGCCAAACGCTTCAATAACACTTACCAAAAGACGAAAGACTCTTTGGTAATTAGGTGATCGACATCTTTTCAAAAAAACCCAACGCTTTTTACGTGACTTCCAATGAAGAAGTTTAGAACAGCTGATTATAGTCGCATATGGTTGATAAAGTTTTTGATGAAGTTACCACAAAGTTTTTTTTTGTAAGTGTTATTGAGGTGTTTGGCCTAGTAGATTGTATATCAGTATACCCTTCCAGGCTCTGAAGAAGGCGACTCTGCCGAAACGTCAGCTAGTGTTGTATTGTATTGTGTTTTTCTATGGAAGTAAATGTATGCTGTTTAAAAACTTGAACAAGAAAACGACGCATTCATAATTCCACTAAAATTTAAAAACTTTCACTTCGTGTAGGATAGCACCATTTGACATAGTCGTCATTGATACAAGGGGTTTTTTAAATATTTGAAGCGCTTAGTAATTAAAGCACAGTTACTTACCGTAAACCTTTTGAATTACAGTAAATGTCATCAGCGGGACTGCGTGGAGGAGAGCTTTCAGCCGGTTGCGGAGTGCGGCGAGTACAGGTTATCGTTTCACTGTGAAGGTTTTTATTCATTTTTTATTTTATATGACCCGTTTTCACTGTACTGTGAGGATCTCAGCATTTCTCACATTCGATTCGTTTCCTCGCGTCCATCATCCACGAAGATCTTTCAGCTGTGAATTCGGTTGCTGCTTGAGGATTTTCGTTTCATCTTGAACGTAGTAGAATGCTGGTCGAGCAATGCTTCCTGGAAATCTGAGATAGCCGGACTCCAGCGTTCCCAACTGGGTTATAGAGAACGCTCTTTTTCCCAGATAAGTCCGGTACCAAGTTCCTGACCCCAGAGGGATGAGAGGCTTGGTTGGCCCATAGCAGAATCGAAATAGCACCATATTCGTGATGACGGACATCACTACCACTGCACCTTACACTGTGAAACTAGTAAGAAGTATTCCAATACTTTCGCCAATGACCAAGTAGATCAGTGGATAAATGAGAAATTGAGGGCCGCTTTGACAGTATCTAGTTGTAGGCGTAGTGCTTTATTCTAGTTCAGCAGTCCTTCGCCTTGAAACTTCGGTGATAACCGGGTTGAGGAGATTGCACACTGATTGGAGGAGAGTATTGGAGCGGGGATCGAATTAGCACCTTTGCTTCGTAATTGTTGGCATCACTAACCACTGTACTATGCCCATCTCTTTCGTCAATAATTTATTTATGATATAGAAACCTGGATTAGAGCCCGATCTAGGTTAGATGTTTCATGTTCACTTGAAGAAGCCTTGGGTTGAGTTAGTAGCAAATGAGTGTTTCTCTTTCATGTTTTTAGGGACAAGTGAGATATTCGAGTGAACCTTTAAATTGTGAGGAAATACTATATATTAAGGCGAATAATTCATGAAAAATGCGGAATCCTACTCGTTCTGGATAAAGACATGTATTGATTGAATGACAGACCCGGATAGGTGCGAGCGTGGCGCTGTGGTTGGAAGCGCCACTGCGACACACACGTGGAATCGATCCTCGCGCCCATGGCGCACCAAGTCTTCTATCCCTCCGGGGTCGGCAAATTGGTACAAGACTTGTCTGGGAGGAAAGCAGCACTGGCTCGAGACATTGGTAGGCCACCGCTAGTCATTGTAAAGTCCAAATATGCATCCAGTTACCTCCAAACGATGCTTAAAGAAGTCGAATGCATGGCGCATCCCTCAAGGATTGATCAACGCTGAGCGCTTTACCTTCTTTTTTATTGATTGGGTGATAACTGGTGATCAAAAAGCATCACTAGAGCGAAATTCATACTTCTTCATGCTATGACTCAACTTTTTTACTTTTTGAATCCTCATTGCAATATAGTAATTTTATAACCGATCGTCATTTGACCTCAGTGGTAAAGTAATCAACATGTGTTTATATTGTTGAGCTTACACGAGGTTGATAGAGATGTTTATTCGGCTAATGTTTCGACGTCTTCGCTTTGATCAGAGCCGACGATCCTTGTCGGCGGTCCACAGTTGTTCCTCTTCTCGATGAGGCGTCTTCGCCTTGCGTCAAAGTGGATCTTCCTCTGTGGAGCACCTCGAATCATTGTGCCTCATTGCAACGTCTTTATAAATAGCTATTACGACTTGATTCTCCTATTTAAACTTTTCCGAATTGTCTAGTATTTTGTCACATTTTCCAATCTCCTACTTCTTTCTGGGCCTTTTCACTCAATTTTTAGTTTCTTTCTCGTTTCGTACCATTTTTTAGTCATCTCTCGCTTGTATAGAGCTGAGAAAAGAGCGGACTTTACACAAGAATATAACTTATGAATCTTCGGCTATGAGCAACTGAGGAACTGATTATTTATAATCTTAGGACTTGCTATCGAGGTCGCTGGATCAATGCTCGGTGTGGCCATGGCAAACGGTTTTTCAACGGTAAGTGCACCGACGAGGATTGCGCGAAATCGGATTTACGTGAGTCTTTTATGCCGTTTTGGTAAATCGGTATGTCGACATATCGATCGACTCCAAACTTATTCTAGAAGACCAGTATTACTCGGCAATTCAATGTCGTAGTGGAGCCGTTAGACCACATCCATCTAATCAGAAGCTGTACATTTTCTGCTACTATGGGGTGTGGACGGAACGCGCTTGTCTAGAAAAAGAAGCGGTTTTTGACTTCAAGGTATTCATTTTTTCAATGACATAAAACTACGGTATATGGGAAGGATTAAGTTTCTTCATTTGTTTGAAAGCGGCTTTGTGAAGCGGTAAATAGAGTGGTGCCAATTTATTTTACGAATAACGTATATCGAATTTTAGTGCTTTAGAAGGAATGTTGAATTGAAAGTTGTTGAAATCCACCGGGAAAACAGACGATTGTAAGTTGAACATGCAGTTAAGGCTTAGTAGTTTGTTTACGAACTATTTGAACTATTAACAACAATGATACTGGGATATTTGCAAAACTTTGGACAACAGGTGTCTGCGGTGGGGAACGAATGCGCTATTACGTTTTCTGGAGGCTAACGCGTTCACCACCACACTATGCTGGTCCTTCGTTTCGCCTGTCTCTCAGCTAGTTTGCTATAGATCAGTGCCATATCAATTAGTTTTCTACCCATTACTGCCATCTCAGCTAGTTTTCTATCGATCAGTGTCGTCCGGAGTTTTGCAAATATCGCAGCATCATTGTTGTTGCATTTCGCATCATACCCTGCCGTTGAAAATAGTAGTAGGCAGTAAATCATATTTAAACTATCACTTTATCAGAATTCCTATTCAGTTTGGACTTTGGAATATTGTCAAAATGAAGGTTTGACAAAGTTGAAAATAAATTTAAGCTTGGATCTCAACTTGTTGGTTCTTTAGTAGCTCCCGGCGTTGATCGATCCCTGAGGGATGCGCAATGCATTCGACTTCATTAAGTGTCGTTTGGAGATGATTGAATGCATATCTAACCTTTACAATGACTCGCGGTGGCCTACCGATGTATCGAGTCAGTGTTGCTATCCTCCCAGACAAGTTTGGTACCAATTTGCCGACCCCGGAGGAATGGAAGGCTTGGTGGGCCATGGGGCGGGGATCGATTCCGCGTGTGTGTTGCAGGACGCCTCCGACCACTGTGCCACACGCGCCTTTTTATTCCTTATGAAGTATTGTTGTTATCAGTATCTTATTAAATTATTCAGGTTAGAAGAAATGTTATTATTATTACCTGTGGTGAGTCCAGTAAACGTGCTATTCAACAATACAAGAGATCCTACATTTATGAATTCTTTCGAGTGTGTGAAGCAGTCTTTACTAAATTGTTGTTAACAAGTCGGTGACGGTAGTAGCTGACGATGTATTGTTTTTCAATGTATCTAACTATTATTCTAAATTTGGCATCTTTCTAGCACGTTCTTGATGATCGTTTTCTTCCCAGCTGTAAAGACGTCAACCTGGAGGACAATATGAGTCTTCTATAATTCATGCAGTGGGAAGAATGAGAGAATAATAACGAGAAAAGAGTTCGGACTAAGTCAACTAGATAGATTAACATAGACATTTTCGGCTTCAAAATGTCAATAGTTGCTTGGTTTTTACAATTTTTTTCACACATATCGATTGGCATCTTATGCTTTTTGTCCTTTTAATTTTGATCCTTTGATTTTCGGTTTACTCTAGATACTCGGATGCACATCAGTTTACCATGCAGCTCCCATCGAAGACTATAAGCCGCGGTGCTACGAGGGTAACACAAAGGCTCTACCCCGATACTGTTCACTCTACGAGGTATTCAGATCTGTCCTATATGTTGCGTCTCGAAATACCTCTTTTAGGAATGTGTATATGGTAAATGGGTGAAGAGGGCTTGCCCATATGGCCAAATGTTCCACAATGGATACTGTGTGGAGGGAAATTGTTATGAGGATTCGATTTGCCGAGTACGTTCGTTCCAGCAAATGCTATATTTTGACAAAAAATTTCTAGTTGAACTAATTTTAGGAATCATCGCGCGTAAATGGTTATCGAAGAGTACCACATGATTGTTCCAAGTACTATCAATGTGTTCATGGTAAAGTTGATTCAGTGCTTCTGTGATCTGCTAAGGAAACAAAAATATTTGGCTGGCGAATGTCTTGGGGAAAGTCTATCTCTCAGCAAGGTCTACTTCTTTAGGAAAGGTGGAAACCTACTTTGCGGAAAACGTAAAGGGTTTTTTTGCTGTCAGTATGATGATCCTTAGTTACAATTTGTTGAAATTCTTGAATCATACGAGCATATTTGCTGTGTCCGAAATCGAGGGAAGCTCATCTTTCGAGCATCAGCATAGTTCTCGCCAGTTCCAGGCCAATTTTTGACCCCTACAGCTCAGATGCAATCGTGATTACCACCACAAACACCCTTTAGCCTTTCCCTGTCGAAGAGATATTTGTCACTATGGTTAGAATTCTGCCAGGGTGACTACATATTTTGACTTTGATTTATTTTCAACTGGATTTTGGGATAGAAACGTCGTGGTGGTTATCGACTCAGGTAGCCTTCTTTTATGTTTATCTACTCTCTGAGCGTTCTTTGCCATCAATTTAATATCTAGAAATGGCTCATAGCCACGGTGACCATCAATCTGCACCAAGATGACGTAACAAGCTTTTTTATGCTTAAGACGTTATTTTTTCAGCTCTTTTAACATTGAACTGTCTTATTATTTCAGGGAAATGGGTGGAGCGACCGTGTGCCCCAGGCACAGTGTTTAATGAACGAATTTCCGTCTGCGACCACGCTGCGAATGTGCCAGAATGCGGTGGAATACATTACGTAGCCAGTACTTAAACAAATACTTACTGCTTTTCGCATAAAAATCGTTTTATCTGCTTTGTTGTTGGCCGATGTATTCAGAACGCCATCAGTTATGAAAAGCCTAACACATCGGAAGCTAATACGCGTCCTCAATGATCAATGTTATGTTATAGGGCAACATGGATAAAGGATAAAGCTCTCGGCGTTGATCAAGCCCTGATGGATGAGCTATGCTTTAGACTTCATTAAGTATCGTTTGGTGATGATCGAATGCTTATCTGGCCTTTACAATAGCTCGCGGTGGCCTACCGATATGTCGAGCATATGCTGCCATCCTCGCAGACAAGTCCGGTACCAATTTGTAGCCTCGGAGGGATGGAAGTCTTGGTGGGCCATGGGGCGGGGATCGATTCCACGTGTCTGTTGCAGGGCGCCTCCGACCAGTGCGCCACACGCGACCTAGGGCAACGTGAAATGATAACAAACAATTTCGAAAAGACTACTGACTAATTAAACTCGTTCGTACTGCCGTTGCTTTCATGCTAAATGAAGTGGACGAATTTGTTGTAGTTTTGGTTAAATAATGTAATCATTAAAGAAGTATAATTCAGTTAGGGTCAGCAGAGTGATTGTATTGCAAGCAGTGCCTCAGACAAACAGGATCCTTGCATACCTGCTAACCTTGTTCCATTACTAGCTATTCGGTAAACGCATACTACTGCTTTTTAAGTGAGGATCAGAGGATTTCACCTGCTGTCTAGTTTCGTATCAGTTTTCCAAGAGGTTCAAACTGGTGGGGAGGTTTTCAAGAGTGTTATAATATTCATGGATACCCTTTGCGCTAATTTTCAAAAACATTGAAATCCCACTAGCCTTTAACGAATACTATAAATTCTTTGTTTTTTATCTTCTGGCATTTTTTTGATCGTTGCTTGTCATGTGGGGGTGTGTAGAGCGCAAATGTAAGAGGTGCCCTTCAATACTCGTAAGATCCATGGTGCGATCATTCATCTCGGGTCAATCAGTCTCTTTGTTCCTCTTCGGGAGTTATTAGAGTAGTACGTAGATTGTTCACTAAAATAAAACGCTGACTTGTTACAGCGGTAGACCACTGGTAGTCATTTTGTACAGGAACAATATCAGCCTTGCCTAATGAAGTCAAATGCTTTGGGCCTCGGTGCCAATATCAGTTATCTCTGCCTTGAATACCACGTAGATGTGGCAGAACTCTGAGAACTAAAAAAGTATGACAACTTCGGCCCATCTAGTTCCATATTGCTGCAAGTTTCCTTCGTCAAATCCGTTTCCTTTTTGCGAGAGCTAATGCCGCGATGGACGTTCAACATTTACGGGCACGCCACTGTTTCAAGATCACCCAGCGCAACCAAGCTTGCCACCTCTTGAGTCAAGAAACTGCTACCAGACTTGTCTTCAATCGGTTAGTTCCTTTCCCTCAAAAAAGATAGAGCCGGCATATGATGAAGACCTGCGAGCGTCCTAGCATGGGTATCCTACGATTCAAAGGAAGATTCACTCGAATAACAATCAACGACACTTATTAAAACGGTCAAAATCGCAAGGCGGCAGTCAAATCTACACCAAAAATCCAAACATCTTTGTGGATTATGGATCCGAGGAAACGAATTTGACGCAGCAACTGCTGAGATCCGCATAGGGTGCGATGACGGATCATGTGGAATAAAATAAAGCAGCAAAACAAACTGAAACTTTGTACTCCGAACGAAAACCCGGAAAATCACATTGGCCATAAAAATTTTATAAAATTAGGTTGATGCCATTAAAGCTGGATAGCTGATAATCCTAGCAACTAGGTCTATAGCTCGACATAAAGGATAAATAAAAGGATGAAGTTTTAGGAGTTGACCAATCCCTGAGGCATGGTCCATGCATTCGATTTTATTAAGCATCTTCAGAGGTGATTGAATGCATATCTGGTCTATAAAATGTCTCACGATGGTCTGCCGATGTATCGATCCAGTGCTAGTTTCCTCCCACACAACTCTGGTACCATTTTGCCGGAGGAATGGAAGGTTCGGTAAGTCTGGGACGTGGGATCAATTTCTTGTGTATTACAACGGGCCTCTAACCACTGCGCTACAAGTGCACCTTATAGCTAAATATATATCAAATAAATTCGGAACTTCCGTACAAGCAATAAAAACTTTCTGGCTGCTGAGGTGCAATATAAAGAGGGGGTTTTCCGCCTGTCAAAGCCACACAAGCTGTGAAAGAGCAAAATTTCTTTCAAACTTAGATAACATGTGAGCAAAAACCACATCCACCTTGAAAAACCTTGTCACAATAAAGCAAGCTTTTCTTAAACTCATGAAAGCTGTTGGTTGCCGGTGGTAGTGCTCTGCTAACATTTAAGCTTTCCTTTCTCATCGTTGCTAAGGAAAGGGTGTGACTTGATGAATGCGCAAGTACTCCATTGTTAGGACTGCATTATTTAATAAACCTCATTTCTTTACAAGAGTGTGTTGTCAGTGTCCACATAATTCGTACTTACTACGAAGAGAAAAATAACGTAGTTGTTCAGTGATGCCGTTTCAGTTGTTCAGTGTTCAGTGAATCACGAGGACGGCGCTGGTTCGACCACTCACCACGCTCATCACGTTCGTCATTTCTCGCCGCTCCCAATGTTGGTACCAGACTTGTCTGGGAAAAGTTCGCTTTTCGCAGTCTATGTGAGCGCTCTAGCCTGGCTATCTCAGGATCATCGAGTCGACAAGCATCCAACGACATAAGTGCCGAAAGAAAATTCCTCACACATCGGCCGAACCCACTTGAAGAAGTTGGATGGCTTTCGTGGATGACGTATGCCAGAAGGCAAATCGAGTGCAATAAGTGCTAGGCTCTGCACAGTTGATGTGAAATAAGGGTTGTGAAAAATAAGCTATAATGTGTACCGTTAGAGAATTCTCACATCCAATGTCTGTAATCGAAATTCTTCAGTAAAGGTTCCGTGGCAAGGCTAGGTGTTCTTCATGTTTCTTTTGGTTTTTCAAAACAAGGTTGCCATTTAAGTGCTCTTCTCGCCTTCTTAGGCTCCGATCTTCGACCCTCCACTTTTTTTTGTTCTGTTCATAGATATTTTGAAAGTAGGAGTTGACACTCTTCTCCTACCCACGGTAAATTTGAAACTGAAATTAACTAGCTTAAAAATTAAGCGATAAATTTTTTTATTCACTATTTACCTATTTGTTTTATATACTGAACTTTCTTATCATACTCGACGAATGCCTGGGAAATATATGGCTACCTTCGAATGCATTCAGTGCCAGAATCTAGCGAGGCACTTTTGGCTATCCTCCCGCCAAGATGAATGAAGGGCCTCATAGGAACAATGTGGTGCCTTTCTTTTCTTCAAGGAAACCTTTGAGCATCTGAGATGAGCAGCAGAATGGAAACACACCTAAGCGTCGCTTTTTGACATTCCTGGTCAATCAAACAATATGAGGGTGAGCGCGATATACTAAAGGGCAAAATCAACAGTGCGAATAACTGTTAAAATCCAAATAAGCAAATCGAATAAGCCAAAAAAAATTTTGAAGTTTTCCCAATTGCATGACGACTGGGTCTATTCGATGTCACAGCGTTATTCCTGTTTCGGAATAAATTCCGTCAGATTTGTCGTCGTTCCACTTCGCAGTGCCCTTTCCCATCGGCTAATTCCGGGAACACACTGGTCATACACCGGTCTATACAATGTTTTATTTTTTAATAAGTACAACAGAACACTTCACATATGAGCATAAATTTCTGAGAAATTGAGAAAAACATCAGATATGGTAGACGAGCGACGGCTTTGATCATATCCATGAAAGGAACCGCAGAGGTGGACTTTTATTCTTCATGTTCAACTTACTTAGCGCTTCTTTTTTTCACAGGACTTTGTGCTATGGCTTTCGTTTTCTATGATTTGGCTCCTTGAATGGATACAATAATTGAAAAGCATGCGATTGACAGTTTTAAACAACAACTGGCACAAAATCTTTGTAGATGTTGTTATCTACAGAAAATATGAAGCTCGTTCGCGAAATGTGTATATTTCACCTTAACTTGAAAGCTTTAAATTCTCAAACGGTCGAAAAACTTAACAATGCTGAGGAATTCCAATGATTTCTGTGAGCTAGATTGGAATCATGACACCAAAAGATGAAGGAAAATGAGGCTGACGAAATTCTTCCACGAGATCTTAAGCATTGGCACAGGTGAAAAGTGAACGAACGAACGGAGAGCGAGGATGAGCTTGTGGTTGAAAGTATAACTCAGATGTTAAGTATTGTTCAATGGCGATGGTTCAGGAATTTGTGGAGAAGGCGGTTTATCATCGCCCACTCGAAGCGTGTCAGCTGTGGAACTCTCTCGAACAAGAACGATATGGTCTGCATCATGAGCTGTGTCGATTGCCACCGGGACGTCAACGACATTAGCCGGTGTCACTGTGTTATTCTCCGGATTAGGAGCATCACCACTTGGTGCCGCCTCCTCATTTGCAGTGGAAATCGGAGGTAGTAGGGAAGATGCTAAAGGCCTAAAAGTAGACGTAAATAAGTAGATGAAGATTTATGCGACGTGTTATGAACTCACTCAATCCATAGCTCGCCTTCTCGACGAGTCATCTTTGTGGAATCAGTCATTACGATGTCAATACCTAAAGAAGTTGCTCAAAGTTCTGGGAAACCGATCTGACATGCTAAGGTTGACTCCGTTCATAATTTCTTTGATTTTGTTGTGTTCTCAAAAGCAATATTGGGGTCATAAATTCATATATACTCTAATCCTGGTAAAACCTTCTGCTCTATGTAAATGTGCACTCTGACTAAGAAATTCGTGAGCAGTTCAAAACAAGTTGGTCTACGAGAAATGTATCATTTTTACAAATAACATTTTTTTCGCTACTATTTTATAGAGCACAGAGTAGGAAAAGCACTTTAAGAACTGTTGAGAAGGGAAGAAAAAAGTCGGCAATCATAAAAGAATAAAGGAGAAAGCTTTCGGCGTTGATCAATCGCTGAGGGATGCACCATGCATTCGACTTCATTAAGCATCGCATGGAGGTGGTTGAATGTCTGACCTTTACAATGATTCGCGGTGGTCACCGATGTACCGAGTCAGTGCTTCTCTCCTACCAGACAAGTCTGGTACCAATTTGCTGACCGAAAAGGGATGGAAAGCTTGGTGAGCCATGGGCGTGGGGATCGATTGCACGTGTGTGTTGCAGGGCGCCTCCGACCACTGCGCCACACCAGCCCTTTACATTCGTACTTAATTGATATTATTAAGTTAAATAGGTTAAACTGCATACTATCAACGATTTCAACAATGAATAAAATTGATTAAAAATACTGTCGGCCATTCACAAAACGTTGTAAAAATAAAGTTTAATTTAGTGAGCATACAATGCTTTGAAATGGTCAGGTGAAGATGCAGATGAGGATGAAAATTGTTGTACCCAGCTTCATTTATGGAAAAGTAATTGTTTAGAAAAACATTGATGAGTTCTTGAAAGCAGAAACGCACTGGATAGTGATTTATTAAAATAATGCCCTCATAAACACTTGGTTCAAGCCTTCGCCCAGGTCAACCAACTCTTTTAATCGTTCCTTGTTGTTAACTTTGTGTTAAACTTTTCTCTAAGAAGAGCTCTCTCCGATTTATAAAAACTGACGATTGCCTATGCTGCACGATGGTAACGATATGCTAAGGCTATTCTAAAATTCCAGGAAGAATCTTTTTCAGCGTTATTCAAAGTCATTCAGGAAGGAGACCAAATCCTCAAGTAGCAGTCGAGTCGATGCGCGAAATCCAAAGATCCTTCTGGATTGTGGATTCGAAGAAACGAATCGAATGATAGAAATGCTGTGATCTGTACAATATGTGATGTAAGGCCGTGTAAACATAAACGATTGAAAAAATGATTATTTCCGGGCATTACGGTGCACAGTTTTCTGATAGAAGATTTTCAAATCTTCTCCTATTACTTTTCTTTAAAAACGTTAAATTATGTCTCACGGTGCTAGTTCAATTCCGCTCCGAGCTAACCAAGCCTCTGATCCCTCCGGGATCGGAAAATTGGTACCGGACTTGTGTGGGAAAAAATTCACCCTCTGAAATTCAACTGGGAGCGCTCCAACCCGGCTATCTAGGGACTCCAGGGAGAACTGCTTGACCAGCATTCTACGACATTCAAGATGGAGTGGAAATCCTCAAGCAGCAAACGAAGCGACACGTAAAAGTTTGAAGATCCTCGTGGACGTTGAATACGAGGAAACGAATCGAATGTGAGATGTGCTGGGATCCGCACAGTAGGCGTTAAGACGAGACATTTTAAAAAATTGTATCTCTCGACGTTTTCTATATCGACCTCGTTTCAGTTCAATCATTTGGAAAATGAATGACATTTTAGTTGAAAGGGCGATGAATTGATGAAAAAAGACGAGTTTAGAAAATAATGAAAAGGAAAACTACGAGAAATCTCGTCCATGTTTCATTCTCACCTCGAACGAAGGCGTAAGTGTTGCAGAACTGAACGACAGCGTTCAGTGCGTGTTTAAAGACATCTTCACCTCGCCACATCGATACCACACACAACTCGTCCGCCTGCGATGATGCTCGTCCACTCTTCTTCAACATCGCAGATTTCTGAGGCAAAAACGCATTTCTTAACAATTCACACGCAAAGACATTACATTTAATTCTACCCGAGAAGGGAAATAATACCTGAATTGTTTTTTTAAAACAAGTTTCATTCTCTCGTGGATTATGCAACACCATGAGATATCTTAAATTTCTCATATTTATACATTCCAGTAAGAAAACCTACTAGTGATTTACGAAGGTGTCGGTCGATTTAGCGCTGATGAATTGATAGCGGTTTCATTTGTGAGGAAAAATCGCACACATAATTTGTGGAGCCAAGGGCGCGTGTGGCGCAGTGGTTGGCGGCACTCTGCAACAAACACACACACACACATACATACACACACAACACACACACACATACACATACATACACACACAACACACACACACATACACATACACACGCACAACACACACGTGGAATCGATTCCCGCCCCCATGACCCAGTAAGCCCTCCGTCTCTGCTTGGTCGGCAAGTTGGGATACATCGGTTGGCCACTGCGAGTTATTATAAGGGCCAGATATGCATCCAGTCACCTCTAAACGATGCTTAATGAAGTTGAGTGCATGATGCATGCCTCAGGGATTGGTCAACGCCGAAAACTTTATCCTTTTTATTTATTTTAATTTGTACAGCCATCTAGCTAATTGTACGGTAGCTTAGGTATACGCCAAAAACTCCATTCGCCTTACATAACTACCCCACAAACTTAATTTTTTCGCTTAATGGTTTTTTTATCGTGTGTAGTGAAGAAACCAGCACGAAAAGCTTGCTAAGCTTCACCAAACCTGGCTTTTGCCTGTGGTGACCACCTAAGGAATTTCCTAATGTGGCTAGTTGGAGATTGCTAGAGGAAACGAATTTGTCCGGCATAGGAAATGCCCGTCAAATGAAATTGTGTTACGAACTACATAGCTTCGGATGACAATTCATTGAAGCATCACAAAAACGAGGAAAGTAAACCATAAATCTCGAGAAAAAAACCAGCATTCAATCCGTACTTTGACGACGTCCTGACTTGGCCTCAGCATCAACATCTCGGTCGCATTGAGATTAGCGTTTTCGAGAGCGGTGAACAATGCGCCGAGTAGTGAACGACACAGAACATTACTTGAAGTGTAGATGAAAACCTGAATGTAAAAAGTGGTAACGAGAGAAAAAAATGAATCAATTTCTATCTTTACTCCTCTGCATTGTTTATAAACGAGAATAATGAGAACGTTCAGCCCCTTATGATCGCTCTTGCTACCTTTAGATCAGGAAAAGGTGATAGACAATGAAACTGCCATGTCAACAACACGGCACATTCTTAGAGATATAATCTATAAAATCATGCAAAACTATCTATCGCACCAGAGAAAGGCCACAATAATTATTTTCTCACGTTTGCCGAAGAAAAAAAGCCAGAAGTACATAATTCTGTACAGCTCCATAAGTGGACACAAAGCCTTCCAACATATTTTCCGAACGAAATCACTTTATGCGATAGTAACAGTGGAAGAGCTGTACTTCCAGAAAGAATGCAAAGAGAAAAACTGGGTGAAAAGTTTCCAAAAAATAGTTGACTTGTTACGCAAGCGCTGGTTTACCCAGTCTTCGTTCACTTTCAAATTTACACGATCGTCAATGTCAAAGACCACGATATCACGACGACCTTATGAATTTTCGTAGTCAAGCGCTCGGCAAATATGAACGAAGGCCTTCCGCAAACTTCGATAACCCGCTTATTTCAAGTATTTGGGACAAAACTCGCTTATGTATCGGATGACTTTTATTCATGCAAAGAACACTGATCACTTATAGTAATTCCCACGAAAGACTTTCGTGAACCTCAGTATCGATCCAATAACTCGTTTTACTCTTGTTGAGCAAACACTAGATGCTACTTTAATTTTTATTAATGGAAAAACTGACGTTTTCGCAGATTTCGCCTTTCTCAGAGCATGAGAAGTCACTTTGACTGCAATCTACCTAACCAAACACCTCCATAACCAAACAGAGAAATGCTAAACCAAGATTTCAGCTACACTGAGAACAGAACAGTGCCTCTGCACGCTGGTGGAAACAAATCTTGGTTTAGCATTTTCTATGTTTAGTTATGGGGTTATGGCTTGATAGATAGATTGCGGTCAACTTGACCATTACAGTCTCTGGGGAAGGCGAAATTGGCTGAAACGTCAGCCTTTCCGCTAATAAAAAATGAAGTTACACCTCGTGTTTGCTCAACGAGAGTATAGAGAATTAGTAAAAACTTTGTGCGGGCTTAGCAATAAAACGAGATATTTACTGCTTAGATTTCTGTCTTCGGAGTAGAGAGTCAGTTACCGTACCCACCTCTTTTCCACCCTGCCCTACTACTGCATGAAAATTGGCGGAAGAAACCTTATTTACCAACTGGTCATTCTTTCCCATTCCTTTCTAGTCATTCCAGTGTTAAAGGTTTTTAGTTCAAATCCGACTCGTCTTTTTCAGTTTCTAGAGGTGAAAGAAGAGAATGTTGTATAATACCATTGTTTCTTTCGTACGTCTCCACGATAGTTTGAAATACAATAATGACTGTGGAGTTCGGAATGTGTACGACATTAAAAAATGCAGGGTTGTCGCCAGCTCTAATTTTTCCAGATGGCGCTTATTTCTAGCAGGATTTCGTAGAACGTATTCTAAAGGGCTTACCGTATCACGATAATCTCTGATGACGACATCGCTCTTGTCGTTAACTTTGTTCACTCGACATCCGCACAGCGATCGCAGCATGAGATGACTGACGTGGTTTTCCCGTGAGACCATGCCGTACTGCCAGTGAAAACCGAAAGCGATTGTCGTTCCTGTAAGAATCCGTCAACGGCTTTGTGTAGTCGATTGAAAGCCTTCGACTATTGAAATGCGCCCGTCGATAAGGCTCTCACACTCAAACAAATTTGAAGAGAAACAAAAGTAGAAAGAAATCACTGTCATTGACATAAACTCTCTAAATTATAAAGTTCCTAGTATCGGCTGATGAGTGGAATATACACCAGGTCATGGACGTCTTGAACTACTTTGCTCCTGTTTGCCCAAGGAACATATTGGGTTAAGCCTTATAAGCGCACTAAAGTGAAAAATAGGTGCATAAATGGGCTAATAAATCGATACATTAGTAAAAAAAATTCCGGAAGACATTGTTGCCATGGAATCAGGAACTCGAAAACGAGCTCGTTTTTTTGTAGTACTTACGAAGGTTCACGCGCATCGCAGTGGTTATAAGTGCATGCTCTACAAAACAACACGTTCGATACGACCCTCTGCGTTCACTTAACGTTTCATCCCTCATGGACCAGCAATTTGGTGCCAGATATGTCTGTAAAGATAATATAGAACTAATTTAATAGAACAATAGAACAAGACAAGTTATCAGATAGGCCATACAGGAACTCTCACTCATCTCTGTGATGCTCAAAATTTACACGACGACCTGACTTCTACAGAAGCCTCACATTGATAGAATAATGGCCGCCTCCAAATTTAAACCAACGTATCTAGGCTCAGAGTGCGTGTGGCGCAGTGGTTGGAGGGGCCCTGCAACACACACATGGAATCGATCCCAGTTCCCATGGCTTCCATCCCTTCGGGTCCGGCAAATTGGTACCAAACTTCGCTGGGAAGATAGCAGCACTGCCTGTATACATCGGTAGGCCACCGCGAGTCATTATAAAGGCCAAATATGCATTAAATCACTTCCAAACGATGCTTAATGAAGTCGAATGTACGGCATATCTCTCACGGATTGATCAACACCGAGAGCTTTATCCTCTGTCCTTTATCTAGGCTCAAAGTGAATTTCATTAAAATCAACAAAAACCACTCAAATCTGGCCTACAGGATGAAACCCCTCTAGGCAACTAGAACGAAATTCTAATTTCATGGAGCTCATGATTTATATTTGTTCCACTTTTTTGCTTCAAGGCCTATATTTCCTATGCATTATTTATGTTTGGAGCGCCCTTTCTTCTGTTGGAACTTTTAAATACTTAACTTTCGTTATCAATTTTTTTGAAATTTTTAATTCTAAGCCTGGGCGCATGGGACACAGTGGTCGGAGGCGGCCTGCAACACACATACGTGGAATCGATCTCCGTGGCCGGCCCACCAAGACTTCCATACCTCCGAACGATGCTTAAAGAAGTCGAATACATAGTGCATCCTTCAGGGATTGATCAACGCCGAGGGCTTTATCCTTTTTTATCCTTTTAAGCCTATTTAAATTTTAAAGGATATTTTATGAAGAATATGCACACGATATAGATAGAATACTGTAAGGTCTCCTGTATAAACATATAAAGCCCTGAACTGCTGATACTACAGTGATCGAAAAATTACGGTCACTTTTGCAAAGCGAGCATTTCCTAACGAAACGATTGAGTTGGCGCGGTATTACGGATCACTAGGGATTGACAACGCCGAGTGCTTTAACCGTTCACGCTACAGCTGACGTCATAATCAGAAGTAAATGTCACATTACGCTCAGTGCGCTTCAGGAGCACAGCAATTCGACAAAGTAGTGAAAAGACTTAAGTAAAGAATGAATAAATAGTGAAATTGCGAACAAGTAACGGATAAAGCATACACAGAGTAGGTTAATCCATTAGAGAGACATGACGCCACATTAGTGTTCTATTCATAGAAATCACTTGCGTCGGTGGGTTTGGCTTGCCAGGTGAATAAAAGAATGATGCCAAGGGAAAGCACACCGGTGAATTACTAGATAAGTAGTCTACAGCTGTAACTAAATCAGCATGATATGAAATGCCCGTTACACTGATTTCAGTTGAGATCGAACCAGTAAGACTATGCGCACTAATTGAGTATTAAACTAACCAGTAGGAGTACATGCACTAATTCAACATTAAACTATTGCCAATGTCATCGTTGCTGTCTAAAGAGGCGACAGTGAATTGTAATTTTGATAACAAACAATATTATTGAATTTTTTTTGACCTCGAACGGCGACTAAAATGGAAGTATCTTGAATAAAGCAAGCGGGTAGCATAGAGGTAGTGATCCGGAAGGGTAATCTACTCAGGGTGTGGGTCGACCTAGTCCCGGCCCCATATTGAACAGCACATCCCTCCGGCGTCGTGAACAAGCTAGAAGGTCTTTCCTTAAAGTCCACGTGGGAAAGCCTTAGCATGCGTCAGGAGTCCGGGGAGAATCAACTAGACCACCACTCAACGTAATTCGTGTCGAAGACGAAAGTACTTGAATAGCAGAAGAAACCACACGCCAAAAAGTTCGAGGGCCTTCGTGGACGATGGATATGAGGAAGGGAATCGAATGCAGAAAGTGATGGAATTCGCGAAATTTGATACATGCGATATCGGAAGATGCAATAAGTAATAAGTAATAAAAACTTCTAGTAGTATTCTTTCTTTGATATGCTCATCATAGAAAGAATACATATTGATTAGTGATACCGAGGTTATAGGAAAGTCGGTTTCGAAATAATACTTCTAGTAGCTTTCACCACAGTGGCTTCTCTGAGAAGCGAGAGGTCCGAGAAAGACGATTGACCTTCAATTTTCGGATTTACCGGAATGCAAGGAAACGATTGACTGAAGAATCAAGATTACCTTCATTCATATCCGCCCAGAAGAATCACTGAGCGATACTGGGCAAGACTTTGATTAACTTGAAGCTTGCTCTACTCCATGAGGCCACTGTAGAGCTGTACAAATGCTTACAGGTACATAAATGATGTAATAAATGTTATACGAATGTGAATAATAGTTCTCGATAGGACTAGGCCAACTTTAGAAACGTATTTTTCTATGCTACCACTTACAGTTCAAAGAAAACCTAGAGAGGTTCGCTTTCACATGTCGTGCGACCTTTCAGCAGTTCTTCGATTCCTATTCTTCCGTCATGAATGGAAATGGATTGGTTCGTGTGCTGATTCAGTGGAAAGTTGAAGGTTTGTTGTTTTCTCTCCTTATTGTAAAAATGAGCGGTAATTAAGATTTTTTTAAATGAAATCTTGACCCAGAAAAGAAAAAGCATATTTGAGTTTTCAAAAGTGTCAGCTGCCGGCCTTTTGCAGTTCGAAGAGAGGCTTTACTAAGGCAACAATGATCATTGCGATTATTTGGCTAAGGATTATGATGTGGATTCTGTGACAAGCAGAATCTGTCCCTTCTAAAAACGTTTAAAAACAAATCTCAGCATAGAAATAGAAATTATGAACTGAAAACAAGCCTCTAATAGTCATCAATCATTCTTTCTCCTAATCTGATAGGAATGATTCTATCTACTTATAATTGCTCTTGAAATAAATAGAAACCCTTGTAGTATTGGTGCTCGATTGAATAGAAGCCTCAAAACAGCTGTGTCCGTTAGACGTCATACATTTCTGAAAGGTACCTGGGAACACCTCCAGTATGTCGCTGTAAACACTCTACTGCTTACCAACACTTAGAAATTCATGTTAAAATTTATGTGACATTATCCTTGCTATATGGGGCGCGTGTAGCGCAGTGCTCGCGAAAGCTCCAATACACATAATATCGGTCCAGTGCTCCAGGCTCACCAAGCCCTCTATCTCCTATGCGTGGGTTGCATGGAAACAGAAATTAAGTACATCATAGGTGTTTGCAGTCAGAAGGGCATAGTTTCTGGTGTGGGATTCCACACTCGATGGTGAACTAAATTTTTTTAATGTCCTTGATTTTAACCCTTTTATTTACTGTCTTTTTCTTTTTAATGGCAGGGTATGTTGCGAAGTATATATATAGAACTAGCTGAGAGACAGGCAAAACGAAGAACTCGGATGGTGCGGTGGTGAAGTGCGCTACTCCCCGGTAAGGACAATAGCGCGCGTTCGTTCTCCACCGCATAACCTGCGGTCCGAAGTTTTGCAAATATCTCAGCATTATATACGAGTCCTTGATTTTGTTCAAGTGGACCAGTGGAAAGCAGCCTTCCGATACCTACTGGAGGACAAGGAAATAAGCAAGAAAGAGGAGGAGCAAAAAAGAAGAGGACAAGAATAAAGTCCCGAATATTAAAACCTTTGGACCACTATGTATCTTTCCATTTTTTTAAACTAATACAGGGAGCTTGAAGATATTGTGTAATATGTATACGATTGCTGGTTCGAGCCTACGCCGCTGCCAGCAATCCTAGTGTCCAGACTGGATCGGAAAACTGGTAGCGGACTACTTTAAAAAGGTTTCTTTCAAACATGACGATCTGGAAACGCTCTAGTGGATCTACATCAGAAATCTAGGCAGGTTGAGCTTGATCGGCACTTCGACCAAATTCTTGAAGAAAAGGACACCAAGCGGCGGCCAAACTCACACACAAATTTGAAAACTTCCGTGCATTCGAGGCAAAGAACGGTTTAGAAGAAATTTTGGTATTTTCATAATATGTGCCACTGATTCATATTAATAAACAATAAGCATGAAGGTTTTTGTGATTCTTAATAAATAACAGGAATATGATTAAGGTATGTAGGATATGTGATAGGGTGGAGAGTACAGTGGTAGTGATGTCCCTCATCACGAGGATGGTTCAAGTTCGATACGGCTCCGTGCCATCCAAGCTTCTCTTCTCTCGGTGGTCGGAAAATAGGTGCCGGACTTTTCCGGGAAAAAACAGTTCTCTGCAATCAAACTAGGAGCACTTCAGCCCTACTATTCATAGACTCCGGGGAGAATTGCTCGACCAGCGGAATTCGAGGTGAAGTGAATATCCTCAAGCAGCAACCGAAGCCACAAGTAGAAGTTGAAAATATTCGTGGAGAATGGATGCGA